CTGATTTTCTAATCGTAGATGGGGAATTCTAATTAATTATTCTGTTCATGGATTGGATTCAAAATGCACCGCGCAGGATGGCATACTTATTTTTGGTTGTCATTTCTACCTTTAGTTGTAAGTGAATCATCAGTTTTATTTCATTTCATTTCATTTTTAGATAGTAATTCATTATTTTAGTTAGTTATTTGAGGAATGAGACAAGCTCACGAGTTTATAACACGGTTGGGTGATGATAGCTTCTACTTCTTGTGGGGACCAAGTTAGAGCATATAATAACCCGCTTAGCTCAGGAGAATGTCGACAAGACGATGCAAGACCAAGAAGCAGCACGAGTGAAACCCTCGAATAAACACTTTTGGTTCCATCGTCCTGGAATTGTGCCTGACTTAATTCACTTTATTTTATTTCAAAATGCATTTGAGATTGCATTCTTCTGCTGGATCTTGGTGTGTCAGACTCACCATGCAGTTACGGTAGATAAGATATCCATCCAACCCAATAAATGTTTTCCAATCGCCTAACTTTCTCGTTGTTTATTTATAGTTTACCTATGGGTTCCATTCATGCATCATTGAAAAAATATACTACATCATCCCAAGAGTTTTTTGTTGGGTAATTCTCTCTCACACACGTATATGTACTTTAACTCAATTTTATCATATCTTTAATTTCTTTCTTTTAGAAATTTGATCCTGCTCATTGCTTCTGCAGCATAGTTGTTCTAGTTTTCTGCAGTTACAGCACCTTACCTCTATATGCTCTTGTCATACAGGTCAACGTCCAGATTCATAGCTACGTTTATGTTGAGGCTCTTTGTTCATAGTTGAAATGCTCATGTATTTCCATTTCTCCTTTTGTGTAAAGATGGGAAGCAAATTTAAGCAAGGCACGTTTGATGAGTACGCGGAAAGATCTCTTGCTACTTGGGTTATGATGAACAGAGGTGAAGCAACCACAAGCAACCCCACTGCAATTAGGATGACAACAGAGTGTAATCAAGTTGGGGAGCAAGAAATGGATCTTATTGAAGAACGCAAAAATTTTACAATTCAAAACTATACATCATCAGTTTGAATTACAATCTAGCAAGCAAATAATAAGCTTTCGTGAAGTCCGTTAATCTATCCAGCTCCGTTTCATATATGGGAGTAACATCTGGGCACTCAAGTTCATAAACGTTTTCATTTGTTCTGTTCAATGAATGTGTTAGACTGTTTTAATATGAAATGCCATTTTCTCCTCTTGTCGCGAATTTCTCCTCTTTTTCTTATTTCCTTCTTTTCCCTAGCTACCGCCCCCCCTCCCACTCAGTGGTTAAAATGGATAGCGAAGGATGAGTTTTATCTTCTCTCTTGTGAAGGTTTCTCTCCATTTTTTGAGGGTTTATGCCTTTGTTGTTTCAATGCTTTTGTTATCAAGATTTATTATTGTTGGAGGAGGATGGTAACTTAAACATAATATTGGTTAGGCTCACATCAACATGATTCAGCTATTGAAGGTATGGCTGGGGATAAAGTTTTTCCTAACTAAATTTTTTTGCCTCAAGAACCAATTGATCTTCTTTGTAAATGGATTTTGCTGGAATGTGGCTTACTGCTAAATATAAATGGCATTAGGAGGAAGATGACCCTTAAACTAATTGGCAAGTACGTGTTCCCCCATCTATAAGAGTCTTATAGGTCCCTCAAATCAAACAATCAAACAAGCTATAAGAGTGCTGTGTGCTGGTCCTAATGTTTAAACATGTGCCTAAGCATCTAACCTAAAACAATTTAGTGATAGGTAAATTAGCTCTTCTTTAATGTCCCAACCGAGGAAGAGGAGACCCCTCTTGATACTCAGAAGTCTTGATCATCTATTGTTTTTCATAATCGTTGAAACAAAGAAGAAGATAAGATTCATCAGACCTTTTCGACTTAATGAACATTTTTTGCTTTATAATGTCTAAAAATGTTCAGCATCAACATCAGCCCAACTGTCTAGCACATGATATTTCAAATCCTTAGTTCTATTCTTCTACACAAGAAGATTTCTATTGTCTTTTCTGTTAAGGAATAATTTCTCCAGCTCAAAGCCACTCTGAGTAGAGGCTGAAACTTCTCCGTGTCTCGGCTTTTTCCAGATAGTTTAAGGCTATTTTTGCATAAACGGTAAAAGCAACAGTTGTAAGAACTGCCCAAGACGAAGGAAATAATATTGTATATGACTCCCACAACAGTCAAGTAGTGGTTCCCATACTTGACATCAGCAAATGTCCTTATTTAACCAACCACTGCAGCAAAGGTAGAATACAATGGTTACAGAAAGCAACATAACCCTTCTTGTAATGATGTTTCCGATGTGCTTGGATAAGGACTATTGAGATTGTGAACATACATCCCCTCAGAATCGGACTTTTTTCGTGGCAGAGGCTTCGTTGATTTGCCAAAGTTCGCCTGAGTTGAGACGTTTGCCACCACGTACAGGGACTGTACCAGCCCAAACAACGTGAGGACAGTTGTTTCGGATATCAAATGTGGCTGCAGAGGCCATGGTGAGTAAGTAGAAAGCAGAAAAGAGGAAAGAAAACACAGAGATGGAACTCATTGTGTAGGATAAGATTGTATAGCTTTTACGAAAAGAATGAGAGGGAGAGCGAGAGTGACAGCGAGAGAGCGAACAAGCTTTACGAGGAACGATCGATGGAGTGCAAAGGACAGGTGGACAGCACGAAGCAGGACCAGATCTGGATATCAGAGGCAAAGTAGGTACTTCCAGGAAAGATTAGTTCAAGGAAGGCAACGGAATCAGAGTTACGAAGGTTTGATGCAAGGGTGTACAATCTAGCAACAGCCTTCTTTTTTAGTAACTTTCCAGAAGACTGGAGTTTTGAACAAATGTGGCAAACTTTTAAGAAGTATGGTAGGATCTTGGAGATTCACTGCCCAGATAGAAGAGGGAAGGATGGCCGACGGTTCGGGTTTGTTAGATTTCAGGATGTCAAGGATGAAGGAGACCTGGAACGAAAGCTAAAGCAAATAAAGATTGGCTACTTGAATCTGGTGGTGAACAAACCGAGATTCAAAAAAGGGGAGACTGCAGGAAGTAAACGGATAGAACATGCAACTATGCAAGGACAAATGCAATAAGAAAAGTAAGGAGCTATGCAGAGGTGCTTAAAGGCGTTGCTACTAGGGAACAGAAACAGAGGAATGAGGCAAGACCATCAGAACAAGACAGGAGAGTAAGGAGTGAATGGCGAGTCCGTAAGAGGGATGAATTATGGACTGGTTTGGAATTCAGCTTTGATCGAGAAGAGTATGCATGGCTTGATGGGTGCTATGTTGGGAAAGTCTATTCAATTGAGACGATTCCTTCTCTCCAGGAAAGGGTCTTTATGAAAGGGGTGTTCTCATGTCGTGTTCAAGCCATTGGTGGAAAGCTAGTGTTACTGGATAATGAGGATAAGGAGGAATTAGGTGATCTGATTGCTTCTGGCCAGGACTGATTAAGTCAGTGGTTTGAAGAAATTAGAGAATGGTCCCCAAGCATGGTAGCTACGGAACGCTTTGTATGGTTAAAGATCTAGGGTGTTCCTCTCCATAGCTGGAATTCAGTGCTATTCTCCACTTTAGAAAATTTATGGGGTAGTTTCATCACTTTGGACGATAGTACAATCAGGAAAAAAAAGGTTTTGATGTGGCCAAATGTCTTATATCAACAACGTCCATGGCTTTTATCTCAAAGGTGCTGAGACTTAAAATCAACGGTGAATTGTATCAGATTAGAGTGGTGGAGGAGGATTCCTCAAATGTAATATGGAGGTAGTTGAATCCTTTTGAATTTATGAGTTTATGTTATGATATTCTTTTGTTGTTTAATGCCTTATTTGAATTAACTAATTAAAAAAAAAAGGTTTAGGATTTGGAATCCTAATGGGAAGTGAAGAAAAAAAAGTTGATTAGAATTGAGTATCCCAATCTGTTAAGGAGTTCAACTAAATTAAAAGGAAAGGGTCAATAGAAGTTGAGGGACTAGTGTTGTTATTTTACTATTCTTAGAAATCGCATAATGGTCCAACAGTCCGACAAGGACTTGTTTCTTCTACAATGAGTGAAGGTGTTGACACATAACCAGTTAGAACTTATTGTGCAAATCTGACATGATGTAAGGGTGTTAACACTTAAGTAATTTGCAGCAATTAAACATTGGGTGGTTTTAAACCTTTTGATATTGTGTATTGATATTTATACACAATGTATCAAATTCTATGTGAAGAATATCTATTAATATAATCTTATTTTAGATTATATGTGCATAAAGAATATTTATTATGCGGTTTCATTTTATAAAATCAAGATAATTGTTTACATAATAAATTAATATTAATTCATTCCATCTAAATTAAAATAAATATTAAGTGTAACACATAAAATATGTGTTAATATTTGGAGGTTAAAGATATATGGTTAGTGGCAAATGAATTATTGATAAGATATGTTTTTCATGTTTTTGGTTTAAAATAATTTTGTGAATATTATTATGCATATGATATATGCTTTTTGGAGATTAAATTTCAGGATTTTATTAAAACAATTAGTCACAAATGGAGGTACGTGACTTTATATACCCATTATTTATATAATGTAATATTCTTGGATTAAAGCTTTTGAAATTGGTTGTACTACTCATTTGTAAAGTTTTTTAAGGTTGACTATTAATAAAGAAATTTATGGTTATAAATAAATGAGTAGATAATTGTGAAACTTTAGTTTTTCATTAAAGATTACTTACCTTCATATGTGGTTTAGCATATGGGTTTCCTAGCACTGTGTTGTTGACTCAATGTACTCCAAGAGGGGTGAATTGGAGTTCCAAAAATTCTCCCATTTTTCAACCACAAAACCCAAGTTAAAGAGAGTAGAGAAGAAGAGCTTGCATAATGAATTTATAGAGGTTTGGTCCAACCACTTGGAGCCTAATCCTCTACCTTGGCTTCACTCACCAAGGATTTCTTCCACACTCTTCACTAAGAAAAACAAGGGTGGCTTAAAGGAGCCACTCAATCCTTTTACAACAAGATGAGTATTTCTCTCAAACCTCACCCCTTTACAATGTAAACCCCACAAATCCTCTCAATAGATCACTCTTGAAGGAATCAACACACCCCCAAGATCTCTCACTAATAGCACAAGAAGAGGATTACAAGCAATGATCACTCAAATATCAAAAACTCAAGTTAAAGCTCAAGTAGGTAGGTAAAGATATTCAATGCAACATTCTCCAACCTTCTTCAGATCTGTTACCAACCATATTTATAGCCCCTTGCTCGAAAATAGCCATTTCTAGCCGTTGGGGGTCATTAAATGCTCTGCAGGACACAAAGCTTGAGCTGTAGGATTGTCAAGAGAGCCGGCTTAACTTCCTAGAGCCGGCTTAACTTTCTAGAGCCGGCTTTGCAGAGCCGGTTTGCACTTCTAGAGCCAGCTATCCGGGTTTGCAGCCCATTCTGTTTTCCTCGAGAGCCGGCTGCAAAACTTTGAGCCGGCTTCAAAACTTTGAGCCGGTTTTGGAACTCCAACTTTAAATACATTAAATATTCTTCAAATAAGTCGACTGTTGTGCATTAAATGCACCCTCACAGCCGGTTGCAAGGTTGGAGCCGGCTCTGCTTCATTTTCCGCGTGCGCCAAAACAACAGTTGAATTTCTGACCTGTAAAGCCAGCTCAACAAAATCTGCAGTCGGCTCTCTGCACTTTTGCTTCCCAGAGCCGGCTGCAATTTTCTTAAGCCGGATCTCTGCATATTTTTACCCTTTGAGCCCTTTTTAATGCAATCTCATTTTGCTTACTTTGCAGTATATTGGCAATTTAACTACACACTTAAATAAATCAATTAGTCACTCAAATGTATTTTATAATCATCAAAATCATAGGTACAACATGTGTTTTCTAATAAAGAAATAAAGTGTTCATATTTGGATGTAAGGAACATATTTATAGTTGCTAATAAACCATCCATGCAAATTAATAATGCATCTGGAGAAAGTATAATTGTTATTTTCTACTAACTTTATGGAAGTTAAGAAAATTTTCAAAGAATATATATTAAAGGTGCACCAAGAATTGTTGAGAATTACAGTTTTAATTATTCGTCAAGTTGTATCAAGGCAAATTACAAAGCTACAACCATGTAAGGTAACTGAGTATGATTTTACTCATATTGATATTTTATTTAAGACAAAGTTATTTGTTTTCATATGTGGGTTCTAGCATATGAATTTTATAAAGAGGTTTTATGGAATTAAAGTTTGAGTATATCTCATGACATATAGTTTAAGGTTAAATCATTGGTTTTATAATAAATTTTGTTTGTAATTAATTACCTTCAAAGAATAATTATATGTGTTTATTTTGTATATTGGTGATAGCCTAACTGTGGCAGTACATGAAATTTTTAAGATCTCAAAGAAAAGATATTTGATAAAGTTTTAAGAATTTGAGAATTTGTGTATCTTGGATTCTTTAAGATATTGAAGTAATCTTATATGATTTTTTTGAGTGTTAAAGTAAGGGAACTATTTAATATTGAAAGTTTTTTTAAAAGTTTTAGGATTCTCTCAATTCATAGATTAAAGAATTACCATCACTAAAAGTATAAAAGATTCACATGTATCTCAATAAGGATTCTGGGATGTTTTATTATTTCTAGGTAAGTGTTGCAGTGGGAGTATGTGAAGTGAAGTGGGTGATACTGCCAAAGTGAGTCATCTATTAAATTCGTATATTTCTCAATAACGATTCTGGGATGTTTACTTCTTGAAATTAATGTGTATGATCACCTGCCCAAAGGGGGTGATTGTGCATATTGACTGAAAGAAGTATGAGTAGTTAGTAAGGGTTTTTTATTCTGGTTTTGTAGAGAATTTTCTGCCCAAAGGGAATTATTTTCTATGAGATCATTCTTATTAATTCACTTGTTAAGGTTTGATTTTATGGACTTATTTAATCAACATAAAGTGCAAATAAAGTATAGTTGTGTCTTGAACTCTTGTGAGTCATAGTGAACCATGCTATGGATTAAAGTATATCATGAGGCACTTTTATGGAAACAAAGTTTTATTATTAAAATTATATTACCAATGTTTGATTGGTGTTAATTTATGTATCTCTTAAGTAATTGGTATTTTGATTGCATAAGTTTTGATTAAATTTGGAGATACATGTTTCTTAGCATGATGGATTTGAATCATACAAAATAACTATTTTGTTGTTCAACTAGAAAAATGGTAAAAGGAAGGCATTAGTAATTATGATAAGAGTAATGCAAAATTTAAGATATTGTGAAATGCCTATTATTATTTAAAGAAATAATTTTCTTTGATTATAAGATATATAAAAGGGTTATGATAGAATAACGTGTCTAGAAAATTAGTGGGAGTTAAACAGTTTATTACTCTCAGTCATTCAATGTATAATGATAAGTTTATGAATATGAGAAAGCTGTTTGGTTGCAATAGAGAAACCTCTAAACACATGTGTTATGAATTATATGAAAAATAATTTTTGTAAAAGATGCAATTACCTTTATTAAAGTTGATAAAGTCGAGTCACTCTTGTATTTTTGTATTTGATTAAAATTTAAAGATCATGTTATTTTGAGTAATGGATAATAGAGGATTGTTTCCATTAGAATATTTTATATTTGATGGTGTTAGTTATCTATATAGATAACTTGTTGAAAGAATTTGGTGAAAAAGATATGTCCAAGGTAATTATTGATCTATCTTCTAGAGTAGGAATGACATAAATGTGAAACTATGAATAATGATTATAGTCATGCATTATTATGACTATGTTAATTAATTTATTGATTAAGGGATTATAATTTTGTTAGTAATCTATGAGAATTATTTTAGATATTCTTGATCAATGGGAGAAATTGATTTCTCTGTTAATAATAAGTTTTATTTTACTCATTGTCTCATTTGTTATTTTATAATAATGCATGTGCATTGTACTAAGGGTTTTTATGAGCTCATACAGAAATTAATCTTGAGATCTTGAGGTATAAAGTATAAATGCTTCTTTGGAAGTATATATAGACTTCTTTTGAAGTGTAAAGACTTTTTTTTTTTTTTTTTTTTTAAGTGAGGGAGATTATCTCCTAGGGTTCTATGAAACCATAACAAAGTTTAAAGGCTTCCTTGAGGAAGTGTAAAAGGATTACATCATGATAAAAGGGTTTATTTGAAACCATAAAGAGGACCGTTGTGGTTTTGACATGTTATATATTGTATGGATCACAATGTGTCAAACCACACTACACTTTGTCACATCTATTGGAATTAATGTTGGTAGAGATATTTGATACTTGTAATTGTGAGGGGTCTTGTGTTAGTAGAAACATAATGACTGCATAGTTTGGTATTAGTATTTTCATTGAACGAAATTCTGTACTGAGATTTTGGTCTATATTTGTGGCCACTAAAGTTGTGTTTGACCCAAAAAGTCATTTTTAAAAAAATATATTTTTAAAATTTTAAAACCAATTAGCATTGCCAAAGTGGGAGAATGTTGAAAATTTTTATGTGGGTTGCTGCTAATTGTATTTGGTTTTCAAAATTGGGTCAAATGGAAAACTGGTAAAGCCCAATAAAGTGAGGTGATTCAAGTGGGACTAGGTTTTATCTCAGTTTTATATGATGTGATATGAATAGGTGTAGAGTCCAGAATTACCATTCAGAAAACCTTACCTCTATAAATAGTAGAGTTAGGGAGTGGCATGACCCATTGGTTGTCATTATACAGAAGTTGATTAGGGAGAGAAAGACCTAAATCTCAATACTAACTATATTTGTTTTGTAGGTTTTATCATGAAATCCCTAATTATGATGATTCTTAAATATCCTTGAAAATTCATATGTAATATATTGATTATGGAGATTTAACGTACGCAAGTTATTTATTTCATTAAATTTTGGTATCCTAAATTCTACATATGTCAATCCTTAAAAAATCTAACATTTTATCATAAATTTATATATAAAAAAATAAAAATTGATCTTTACTTCATTAATTGTTTAATTAAATTCATCAATTTAAAATTAATAATAAAATTAATAATAAAATTAATATTAATTTTTATATTATATAGATAT